TGAGATCAGATTGAAATTTGACCAATCGGAGAGAAATTTATTAATTTCACGTTTAGTGAATGTTACTCCATTTGGTTAAACTTCAATTTCTGTGGTCTGATAGGCGCTTTGCTGTTATAAAACAATCGTCCATCTACGAAATGTTGTCAACAATGAAACATTGTGGATTATAATTAATAGTAATATATAGGGCACTTAATTAGAATCTTATTACACGCTGCATATAATACCGACGAATTAATTTCTCATCGAATCTATACATATCGGCGTTATTATATCATTAACTTCTTATCGTCGTGTTGCATTATCAGAGAGCAAATCATGTCCGATAATAAGGAAGATTCCACTGGCGCGTACGCGCCGCGGGCGAAGGAACTTTGTAGAATTCAGGAAGGCGGTAATTTAGTCGCGCATTATACCGCCGCGTGCCAGATTTGGCGAGGAACACTTGTTTCAATACGCGAGATCCTGCACGGCTCTCGTCACGTTGCTTCTTTATTTCTCTCTCTCTCTCTCTCCCCCCCCCTCTCTCTCTCTCTGTTTTTTCTCTTCGCCGAGTTGAAGCAAACATGCAAATTTTTTGGCGAACACACGATATCAACACCGACGCGGCGGTCACGTAAATAGTACGTGTTAATCCTTTCAAACCTGTTTATTTCTCGTATCGCCCGTGAGAAAAGTTAAGCCTTATCGCCTTTATTTATCGTGTATTTTATTCCAACAGATCTGACCGTTTCTCGCTTAGAGGCGCGTTCGGCAAATCCCCGCCGAACTGATTAAATTTAAAGGCAGCGCGGACGCGCAAACGACGTAGTTTTCGCCGTTTTCCAGAACCCTTAAAATTTATTCAAGTTGCAGATCTCATCTTTGTTACACGGAGACGAGCTCGGCGCCGCGCCTTTCATTTAATCACGGCCGACTAATTTGGCCGTTTTTATCACTCGCGCAGGAAAGCGCGTTTTCTCTCGTGCAACCCCCTCCCCTCCCCCCCCCCTCCGCCGCGAGATTGCCAAGACGTCTTTCGCGTTTCTCAAATTATGGAACAATATCGCTACATCCTGCCGTAACTAACGAAGGATTAGGACAAAGTCCATGTCTCTCTTTCCCTCCCTTGCTCCTCCCCCCCTCTCTCTCTCTTTCTCTCTCTCTCGCGCGCGCTCTCGCTCTCTCTGAAGAATGACTCGCGCACTCGAGTTCATCGACGGAAATACATCGCATACGAGTCAGAATGCCTTTCCTACGTTCACTCAAGTAACATACATCATCTATACGCACACCTATATGCATATTACAATAAGACACATTTAAGAGCCGAGTCTATCTTCTACACGTTCGAGAATGGCGGAACGGCGGACCCTCGTGAATTGATTAAAATTTAACTTTCGCCCCGTAATAATTGCCTCTCGATTCAATTTGACGTAACGCCGCGCGAGCTCCGACACGATTCAATCCCGGGGCGATAATCTCCCCTCGGCTCACCCGCGTCGGCGACTTCCGCGAATCCGTCGCCGAGGGTCACCGAGATCGGTAGACCCGGTCCGTCTCTCCGCGGGATTTTCGAAGCTGATCGTCGCGGGGACGCTCGACGGTCGGCCGCCTTGAACCGTGACGGCGCGATAAAAATGACGGCCGTTAATTGGCCCGCGCGACCGCGCGGATTTACGTAACACGTGAATTCGCGTCGTGCGAACTCGCTCGCGCGCGATGCCTCCGGCCGACGCCGACGCCCGCCCTTTATCCGCTCGCCGATTATGTCACACGCGCGGAGGATCTTCTCCTTCCCTCGCGTCCGAGAGAAAGAAGATATGTACGTCACGGGATCGGCCGCCACGTGAGCGAGCACGCCTCGAACCGCTCCGGCGGCGCTGCCCCTGCTCCGAGGAATTTCGCCATTTCCGAAGACCCCGCGCACCTCGAGATCTCGCCCTCTCGGCGATCTTAATTCCGGAATCAAGCGCGGAGCACTTCGAAGGTTTTCAATTTGAAAACCTGCCTTCCAGCGCACGGAGAGAATTTTCCCTTGAAGTTTATCCTGCAAATCGTGGGACAACGTGGCATTTCGAGGAACCGTACGAGAGTCCGCCGAAATTTCACTGCACATTTTACCAGTAATTTACACTTAGTGCTAGTTTGACTGGTAAAATGTACACTGAGGAAAAGCAGGTGTTGAATCAAGAAATATTTCTTGATACGCGGCGATCACGGGCTACCAAGCTAATATTTATCAATTCGTAAAAATATTTGTTTCAATAAGTCACTGTACTAATCAGAATTCTTCAATCCCGCCAGCGGTAATTAACAACGTCAGTGTTTTCTTCACCACACCTGGCATCCTTAATAGTACAGAAAAGTTGCTGTACGTTTAACTTGAAAACATATATACTTCAACTAAAGAAATGCTGCCGACCAAACGTATTTAGTCATTTCAATAACTTTTTTTTTTACCCTCGTAAAATTCTTTCGTGGAACAACATGGCATTTTGACGAATTGTATGAACATTTTTTTAAATTTTACCATGCACTTTACTAGTAAAATGTATACTAAGTATAATTACTAGTAAAAAGTACAATAAAGTTTCAAAAAACTGTCATAAAATTCTTTCGTGGGACAACATGGCATTTTGACGAACTTTATGAACATTTTTTTAATTTCACCATGCGTTTTACTAGTAAAATGTATACTAACTGTGAGTATAATTATTAGTAAAAAGTATGGTGACATTTCCAAAAGTTGTCACAAAGTTGTTCGAAGTGCCACGTCGTCCCTCGATTACATGACTTTCAGGATAAATTTTAAAGGAAAATTCCCTCCGTGCACTCCTTCCGTTCTTATTGCAAGCGCGCTCGCTCGTTTATTTCATCATTAAAATCGTGTCGCGAGTCACAATACGATCATCGACGAGTTACCCACTCGTGGGAATCTAGATTCCGGTCCCGCTACGAGTCTCCGTTGATCCGCTCTTATTAATTTATCAATCGCCACTCTCCGGCGCCGCATCGGGAAGAAACCGAGACGCGATACGCCGACGCTTTTTCCGCAAATCTCGAGTCTCCTCTGCGACGTATACTCCAAGATAAGCATCTTTATTGCGCATTGGCGCAGAACTCGGAGTTCTGGATAACTTGGCGAGATCGAATTCTCGCCGAGGAAGAAACGTTCGCCGAGCTCAATTTTTTCTATTAGCGAATTTAGGGGAACGAAGAATTCACTCTGTAATCTCATTTCCCTGAAATCTATATTTCTCCACGTATTTGCATTCGCACTTCGATCCGTTTCATTTATTTAGATCTCGTTTAATACAATTTTCCATTAGTTACGTATATTAATCGTGTATTTTGTTTTCTTCCTTGCGATAACTGTTATGTTTCTAGTCCGCATCTCTCTCTCTCTCTCTCTTTCTCTCGACCTTTCTCCGTTGAAGATACTTGCGTGCTATTGAATGCAAAAAAAAATACGAATGTCGCTAAGTAGGACAGAGAGATTCAGCCATTGTGATAATCTTTTTATTCTCTTTTTTTTTCTTGCAGGAGGAATGAAAGCCTCGCGCGATGCTGCTGGCTCAATCACGCTGGATCGTAAGGCCGCTCGATCGCGAATGCTCGAGTGCGCGTGGTGACATCACCTGACGGGTTACACCTGCACGGTGCGGAGCGGTCATCACGCATTCCATGGGATCGTGAACCGTGATAGTATAGAGGTAGTCCGCGCATTTCCAACTGAAAGGCCTCCGGGAACGTGACTTCCCTAACAGGGAAAAGAAAAGTCGATCAGTGCGCATTTTACATCGTTCGCGATAGCCTCTTTGTTATGTTTATGCTTCTCTTGAGAGACATTGCCGCTCGCAGGTCCCGCGGAATTTTTGCCGCGCTACAAGTACCGAGAATAGAAACGAGAATAGACTAAGAGAGAGAGAGAGAGAAAGCAGAATTACATAAAGCAGAAAAGATTCTCTGATTTCATAAACGTTAATCTCTTTCGAAATATATCTTGATTTGAATTTTATGTCACGAATTAATTCCATTCGATTCATATAAATCTCAACGTACAGAATGATTTTATCGCAAATAATCATTGTTACGTTTTCAAATTCGATCGAAGCTGGAATTGGAAGCCCGATTCAAGACTGCGCTCGAAGACAAAGCTCCGAATAATCGCAGATAATCGCGAGAGGGTCCAGGAAGAAATCGTTTCGACGTCATCGGGTCGTCGTGTCGCGGCAAATTCGGTGACGATCGCCGAGGGCGAGCGATGCGGCCGGATGAGGGTCTACATCGGCCGTGAACACGTTGCATAGGGTCGGTGGGACTTTCGTCCGTTTGCAGGACTCGCGTCAAGCAGCTACCAGAGTCACAATGGAATGCGACTTACAAGTCCGGCGCTTGCAAGCCCCAGCGGACAAAGAAAATTTATTTCCAACATGGAAGGTCGGAAAAGCAAGACGAGGCGAGAATGCCGAGCCCCTGCAAGGCAGATTTACACAGACAAAAATATTCCACGGGACGAATGGGACCCAACGAACAATGAAGGGCGCGTCGTTTGTCGCGAATCCCTAATTTTTCTTATCTCGCACAAATTGTGCAACCGCGCTCAATTTGACATCTAATTTATAAACTATACGTTATCTATGACCGTTTGTGCCGAGGGGACGCGCAAACAATATCTTTTGCAAGCGTCTTCGTAAACATAATTCAAATTAAATTTCTCACTCCGACCTTTGATAGCGTTGAAAGTCGGGCACTTTGGGGGCATCACGTGTATAAGCTCTGTTGTAACGGAAGAGGAAGAATGCGCTGTCGAGGGGGGGGAACACGAAAGCGAAATAAAATTTCTGAACCCCGGTCTACAGTGGGGTGGTGAGGCTTCCAGAACACGAGAAGTTGACCAATCGCGGTCGATTAGTCTTCCCACGATCGAGCGTGATTGGTCCAACTTTTTCAAGTTGGTCAAACTTGCCACCCCTTATCACCCCATTGTCAAACAGCTATCTTGACCTCGTAACAAGACCAGTATCGCTTTCACAGTAGAATCGTCGTTCCCGTGGTACACGTGGCCGCCACGCGACTGACGACTGAAGATAAACGCACGCGCGCGCGCGCGTAATAACTCACATCGAAACTCGACCTCTTCGTCGATCGGCAGTTCGTAACCGTTTGGCAATCGATTTGTAACGTCCTTTGTCCTCGAGGGCAGTCTCGCATTGTCTGTCGCACAGTTTCGTCTCGTCTTCTAACATCGGCGCAGTACTTCTTCGGTATTCGCGAAAATGAGCGACAAGTGTAAAGTCCCGAGTGCCGACACTGTGAAAAAGATGAAAGAGAACGTTGAATCGAGTGAAGGCGAGAAGAGGGAACAAGTCACGAGCAAGAAGCCGTCGGAGAAGGTCGCGAAAATGATCGATAAGTCGGTAAAACCCTCAGTCTCGAGTCTAGCAGCCAAGAGTGTGCCAAAAATGAAAGAGGCCGTCGAATCGAAAGAACGCGCGAAGACGGAACAAGCCGCGAGCAAGAAACCGTCGGAGAACATCAAGAGGGGTCGAGAAATGTACGAGGAGAAAATTTCGCCATGTGTCGCCAAAATGTGTAAAATCTCGAGCTCGAAAATTGAGGCCGCGGAATTCCCAATTGTCCGGATACCCAATTTTCCGTCCAAAATCTTCGCTTCCAAGAAACCTGAGAATCCTGAAGCTGCGGAAAAATGCCAGGCGTCCAAGACTACGCCCGAAGCTTCCCCCTCCGCCGAACTTGAGCTTCCGAAAGTTCCAACAGCATGCAAAATACCCGAATACAAGTCCGCAACGCCTATCTCCATCGAAGTTAAGACTCCTAAAGTTCCAGAAGCAGGTGAAACGACCAAAACTACGCATGAAGCACACACCTCCGTCACACCTGAAGCTTGCCAAGTACCAAAAGCTCCAGAAATATGCCATATATCCACGGCTATGTCCAAAATTTCCCTCTCCGATAAATCCGAGAATTATCCGAAGGATCTAAAAGAATGTCAAGTAATGGAAAATCTATGTTCTCAAATAGCCGCCTCCGTCCAATCCGAGAATCCTGAAGTACCATTTCCTCATCTAGTCTGCGACTTCGACAAGATTGGGGGTGATCTGCCCATACCCGATATTCCTGAGTTACTAGAATTCGAGAGGTCTCTCTCCAATCTCGAAGCTCGTAAAGTACCAAAAGTCCACCAAGTGGCCAAGACTACGTCCGAGATGTCCGCCTCCGCCAAACCCGAAACTCCTGAAGTACCAGAAATTCCTCCACTCTGCAATTTGGCCAAGATTACGCCTGAGATGTCCATCGTATCCGAAATTCCTGAGTTACCAGAAGCCTGCCAAGTGGCCAAGACTACGACCGAGATGTCCGCCTCCGCCAAACCCGAAACTCCTGAAGTGCCAGAAATTCCTCCACTCTGCAATTTGGCCAAGATTACGCCTGAGATGTCCATCGTATCCGAAATTCCCGAATTACTAGAAGTCTGCCAAGTGGCCAAGACTACGCCCGAGATGCCTGCCTCCGCCAAACCCGAAGCTCCTAAAGTACCAGAAGTCTACCAAGTGGCCAAGACTACGTCCGAGATGTCCGCCTCCGCCAAACCCGAAATTCCTGAAGAACCAGAATTTTTTTTACTCTGCAAATGCCAAGATGCATTGGCCAAGATTATGCCTGAGATGTCCACCGTATCCGATATTCCCTCGGATATTCCTGAATTACTAAAAGTGGTCGAGACTACGCCCAAGATGTCCGCCTCCGCCATACCCGAAATTTCTCAATTACCAGTAATGTGTCCAATGACCACTACGTCCGAGAAGTTCTCTTCCGCCAAACCTGAAGCTCGTAAAGTACTGAAAGTCTGCTACACGCCCAAACCGGATATATCCGACATGCTCCCTGAAGAACTCGAGTTTATTAGGAGATGCAAAGAGATCGACGATCGCGACCTTAAAGGCTGGAAAGGACCTAACCGGATTGCGGACAATATAAAGGAAGCCGATAACGAAATCTGCACAAAGGCAGAAAAATTCGAGAAAGTACGTCAAACGCGCAGTATGCACAGGCTTGTAGGCGCAACCGAGGAGTTTAGAGTTCCAAATGCTCCACGCCGTACGCACAGTGCCACATCCGGAATGTCCGTGCTCAAATCTCCCGTTAGTTCCGGTAATCTTGAGGACTTGCATCGAGCGCACGTCATTGAGTCTGAAGCAGACGAAAGTACTGATGAGACAAGTAGTAGCTCCGAGGAAGATTTGTGTAAATATGCATCATCTGACGAAGAACATCCTGCCGAGACATTACAAAAATTACGTTTTAATTTGGAGGAAATTAAAACACTTGACGATGCACTGGCGAAGTTAAATAGCCTAGTTGACATTTACAAAGTAAGTCGCGTGAGTTTTGGTTTTTTTTTTTTATCAAACTCTACGTTTCAAGTTGGAATTAAGCGAATTGGAATAAATGGCGTAATTCTCTGAAATACTCGCTAACAACCCTGCCAACACCCTCTTTGCATTCTATCTTCTAACGAGCGACGAAGATAACAAAGTCATCGACCAACAATGCGGATTTCTCATCCATGTAACTTTGTAACGCACGTTTACGCTTATTCCGACCCAAACTTAAATTTTCTTTCGCGGGATAAAAATTTCCTTAAAACTTTCTCGAACACATTGGTGTTTGTTCAATTTAATTGAGATACGATCAACCTGAAAGCTAATTAAAATCTTGAATGTTTAAAGGAAATCTCGGTTATGATCGGCGGATGTAAAATGTGGCGGCCCATATCGTCGCCGTCTTACAATACGCGCCCTTACGTCCTGATGACGCATCATGTCGTGCCGTCACTGCCGAAAGGGCTCTTCGAAGTGCTGGCGGAAATGATCGAATGCGTCACGAAAATCCCAGTTCTCTTAACACATGAGGAGAGATGTCACCGGACCATTATCCCCGGAGAAATCGTTGATATAGGTACGTCTAAATCGAATCGAGGAAAATTTTGCTGTCCTACACGGAGGGAATTTTCTTTTAAAATTTATTCCGAAAGTATTGTAATCGTGGGACAACGCGGCATTTCGAGGAATTTTATGATCGATCACATGATTTTCAGGATAAATTTTAAGAGAAAATTCTCTCCGTGTAGAATATAAACGAGCAGAGAACTTCGCAAAGATATCCCGAAGGTCAATCTGTTATTATTTTCCTTCGAGACCCTGTCCTTATAAATATCTTCGAACACCTTCGCGATATGTTTGACTATACTCTCTTGTTTCAAGGGTAACAAGTTGGCGAATTGCGCTAGTTGTTTGACAGTGGAGAACACGGCGCGCTACATCCCGTTAGAAAATATAAAATAATACGAAAAGAAACGTAGAAATGTTACCTTTTAATTTATCTTTGCAGTCGTCACGTCAGGAGGTGGCGCTTGGCCGCATGGTAAGCTCTTACCCGCGAGCTTCATTTTCGATCACGAGCTAAATATGGACAAGTCGCCCGTGGTGTACTGCGATCTGATTGTCTCAAAAGAGTGTGACATTAAAGTAAATGACTTTAGCATCCTTAATAATTTCTCATGTTCCTTCTGATCTAAAATCAATATGTTTGATTAATTATATACTATATTAACTGATTTTATTAACAATAATAATTATATAGTTTGAGTTCTCTCAAATATAATTTTTAAACATTAAAATATATAATTGGTAATTATTCATTAATTGTAGGATATCACGAAATTGCAAGATTATAAGTGCGCCCTTACGCTTGATCGGAACCAACCCACCGCTGCTGGACAACTCACTGCTTATATGCACTCGAAAGGCGTAAACGTACTAAATTTTAACAATATGTTGGGTCAGTTTGAAATATTTTATCTATATAATTATTAGCCATTAGTTGCGTGTTTGTTTTCATTAATTTTCCTACTGTGGCTGCATCAGAAATAAAGGAAAAAGAGGCTAAATAGAAGAAATTGACTGAATAGTAAAAGAAATAACGTTGCTTCACACACCTTATGTGCTATCGATGAACGTAAATAATTTTGGATACAGTTTTTATTTTTCTAATTATTACTTTTTCAATTATTAGGTGCTGTGACGCAGCTTGATGTAGTGAAAATGGTTGCCCGCAATAAGGCGGAAGTGGGAGCTGTGGAATCACCAGTTCTCAAATGTCACAAATATAAGATACCTGGCGCAGAAGATATTTCTGTTCTCACCACTGTGGGAACTACAGCGCCATACCGGATTATGATCAACAAGTGTCATGGTATAGTCTTCTAACTGTGTTACTATATTCTTAAAGATTAACGCTAAAAGGACTTCGTAGTGATCTCTTACTTTTACGACTGGTAAAAGAAATAATACAGAAATGATAATTCATGAAAAAGAGACGAAACTTCGAGAAATAAAAATTCTAAAATCTATAAACGAAATAAAAATACAATAAGCGTCGTGAGATAAAAATATAAGAACCTTTTAACATTAAAATCAAAAAGAATACCTAAAGCAAAGGAAAATACCGACAAGATCAATTCTGCTTTTAATTTGTTTTATCTCGTTTCTTTCTGTTAACGTATGTTTTTCGCATTTTATTTAGCGAGAGGCCTGATGAAACCTCTCACCAAATTTTTGCTGCGAGCAAGCAAGCGCAAGGAATGGCGGACAAGACTGGCGCCGTATAACTGTATAGGTTTCGCTGAGAATTCGGAGAAAATGTACAACTGGAGTAAGGATTGGGACGAAATGTACATGCCTGACCTAGAAGACGCCAGTGCGCCTTGCGAATAAACAAGTTAAATTACTTTACTTATTTTATTGTTTACTTCTTTTATGATTTTATATAATATATGCCCATTGGTCTTTCTTGCTTCAATGTAATATTTTTTTTTATTAAATCTAAATAAATACAATTCGCAAATTTATCCTCGATGTATACGATTTGTAAAAAATCTCGCTCGATCGTCCGAGTTCGCTTCTATTCCGACTGTATAGGTTTCGCTGAGAATTCGGAGAAAATGTACAACTGGAGTAAGGATTGGGACGAAATGTACATGCCTGACCTAGCAGACGCCAGTGCGCCTTGCGAATAAACAAGTTAAATTACTTTACTTATTTTATTCTTTACTTCTTTTATGATTTTATATAATATATGCCCATTGGTCTTTCTTGCTTCAATGTAATATTTTTTTTTATTAAATCTAAATAAATACAATTCGCAAATTTATCCTCGATGTATACGATTTGTAAAAAATCTCGCTCGATCGTCCGAGTTCGCTTCTATTCCGACTTACTACAAATCGAATCATTCCATACACATAACGCATAAAATTACTATCAAAATCCGCTTTGTAAATTGTACAATTTAACTGAACATAGTATAAGTAATAATTATTCAAATATATTTCTTAGCTAGTGATGGGAAGTATTTTATAAGTAGATTGGAATCTGTTGTAGTATCGAACTCTCTGTGATATACTTGAAAAGATAAAAGTGATTATAAAAGCTTTAAGTATATTCGAACCTGGATGAAATGGGTTCGAAATTTCTAGAAGTACTTTATTAGAAATTTAATGTGTGAAACTGTGAAGCATAATTGTATGTATGCATGTGTATTACATACAAATATCTATTACAATTTACATGATTGTATTCGAATACTAATAAAAGATTCAAACCTTTACGATAAAAACTATTTATATAATTACATTTTCAATTCTGCAGGCACTCATTCTAAAATTCAAAACTGATCGGGATTCGATTGCAAGTACGATGTAGCAAATATTTCTTATGAATACTACTCGAATTTCAGGAAATAAAACTTGATTATTGGATGTGACTCGGATTTTTAAGTACATATTAAATTTGATTCTTATTTTTAGCTCATCGCTAAACTCGTCATAAATTTCAGCCTACATTTAGATCACTACGTCGTCGGGATATTTTCACGGAAGATCAGAAAAAGTTAGGCGGAAGCATTCCGTCGGCGAGACGTATAGTGCCCCTCTTCAGAGTGTTTTTCAGAAACTCCTCCAGCCGTACCAAAGGCCCGCCACCGCCACCCGCAACACTTTGCATACGCGGATAATATTGCTCCATTAGCAGCACCAGCAATTTATTGAACTGCTTCGGATACGCATGACACAGCACATTACCGGCGACTTCGAGCATGTCCAGTATCAAAGTCGCGCATAAATCACAAATATCGGCTCGTGGCTCTAAAAATTAAAAATACAAATTTTTCTTATACGTGAACCTTAACTTAAAATTTTGCATATTGCAAAAATTTTCTATGGAGAGCGTTCTATTTTATTTTAATATCTCTTCTGCAGCATATTTAAAAAATTTTTATTGCATAATATTAAGATTTTTTTCCTTTATATTGTTTTATATTTTCATATTTTCTTACCGATATTTAAAACAGCCGCCAACCATCTCCAGGCGTACTGAAGACCATAGGGATGAACTTTTGTAACACCTTTCCGTTGTCTCGTAACGGTAATCGATGCATACAATCTTATCAATCCCGACATCCTTTTTAGGAACTTATCCTGCTGCTCAACAGTGCCGTCTTCAGAATATTTGCAATATCACGAAATTGCAAGATTATAAGTGCGCCCTTACGCTTGATCGGGACCAACCCACCGCTGCTGGACAACTCACTGCTTATATGCACTCGAAAGGCGTAAACGTACTAAATTTTAACAATATGTTGGGTCAGTTTGAAATATTTTATCTATATAATTATTAGCCATTAGTTGCGTGTTTGTTTTCATTAATTTTCCTACTGTGACTGCATCAGAAATAAAGGAAAAAGAGGCTAAATAGAAGAAATTGACTGAATAGTAAAAGAAATAACGTTGCTTCACACACCTTATGTGCTATCGATGAATGTAAATAATTTTGGATACAGTTTTTATTTTTCTAATTATTACTTTTTCAATTATTAGGTGCTGTGACGCAGCTTGATGTAGTGAAAATGGTTGCCCGCAATAAGGCGGAAGTGGGAGCTGTGGAATCACCAGTTCTCAAATGTCACAAATATAAGGTACCTGGCGCAGAAGATATTTCTGTTCTCACCACTGTGGGAACTACAGCGCCCTACCGGATTATGATCAACAAGTGTCATGGTATAGTCTTCTAATTGTGTTACTATATTCTTAAAGATTAACGCTAAAAGGACTTCGTAGAGTGATCTCTTACTTTTACGACTGGTAAAAGAAATAATACAGAAATGATAATTCATGAAAAAGAGACGAAACTTCGAGAAATAAAAATTCTAAAATCTATAAACGAAATAAAAATACAATAAGCGTCGTGAGATAAAAATATAAGAACCTTTTAACATTAAAATAAAAAAGAATAAAGCAAAGGAAAATACCGACAAGATCAATTCTGCTTTTAATTTGTTTTATCTCGTTTCTTTCTGTTAACGTATGTTTTTCGCATTTTATTTAGCGAGAGGCCTGATGAAACCTCTCACCAAATTTTTGCTGCGAGCAAGCAAGCGCAAGGAATGGCGGACAAGACTGGCGCCGTATAACTGTATAGGTTTCGCTGAGAATTCGGAGAAAATGTACAACTGGAGTAAGGATTGGGACGAAATGTACATGCCTGACCTAGAAGACGCCAGTGCGCCTTGCGAATAAACAAGTTAAATTATTTTACTTATTTTATTCTTTACTTCTTTTATGATTTTATATAATATATGCCCATTGGTCTTTCTTGCTTCAATGTAACATGATTTTTTATTAAATCTAAATAAATACAATTCGCAAATTTATTCTCGATGTATACGATTTATAAAAAAAAGATCCCCTCCCCCGGGGGGGGGGGGGCCTTCTCTCTCGCTCGATCGTCCGAGTTCGCTTCTATTCCGACTTACTACAAATCGAATCATTCCATACACATAACGCATAAAATTACTATCAAAATCCGCTTTGTAAATTGTACAATTTAACTGAACATAGTATAAGTAATAATAACAATTCGGTAGAGACTTAAATTTCGATGGGTGTTCAATCTTCTCTTAATTAATTAAAAATTTTAAGTTTAAAATCTAAAGTTTAAAAATCATGGAATATTAATATTATTTAGATTTTAAACGTAAAATTTTTAATTAATTAAAAATTTTAAGTTTAAAATCTAAAGTTTAAAAATCATGGAATATTAATATTTATCTAAATTTTGCAATCGAATCCCGATCAATTTTGAATTTTAGAATGAGTGCCTGCAGAATTCGAAATGTAATTATATAAATAGTTTTTATCGTAAAGGTTGGAATCTTTTATTAGTATTCGAATACAATTATGTAAATTGTAATAGATATTTGTATGTAATACACATGTATACATACAATTATGCTTCACAGTTTCGCATATTAAATTTCTAATAAAGTACTTATAGAAATTTCGAACCCATTTCATCCAGGTTCGAATATACTTGAAGCTTTTATAATCGCTTTTATCTTTTCAAGTATATCACAGAGAGTTCGATACTATAACAGATTTCAATTTACTTATAAAATACTTCCCATCACTAGCTAAGAAATATATTTGAATAATTTTGAACGTCTATAATGAAAGTTTTAAATCGTTTTCAGCATTATTTGAAACAAGGTGATTATGTTTTGAGAAAAATGTGAGTGCCAAGAAAAACTTTTAATAATAACAATTCGGTAGAGACTTAAATTTCGATGGGTGTTCAATCTTTTCTTCTTCCGTACTTTTCGAGTAATTTCGTTTGCAAGCAGAATTTAGAATCGTTTTGATCCGTTATTTGAAGTTGGGATTTCTTATAAATCTTGGGTATATTTGATAACTGAATTTTAAGAAATACAGAATTCTTTAAACTTCTCATTAGTTTTAGAAATTTAGATAAATATTAATATTCCATGATTTTTAAACTTTAGATTTTAAACTTAAAATTTTTAATTAATTAAAAATTTTAAACTTAAAAATTTTAATTAATTAAAAATTTTATACTTAAAATTTTTAATTAATTAAAAATTTTAAGTTTAAAATCTAAAGTTTAAAAATCATGGAATATTAATATTTATCTAAATGTCTAAAACTAATGAGAAGTTTAAAGAATTCTGTATTTCTTAAAATTCAGTTATCAAATATACCTAAGATTTATAAGAAATCCTAACTTCAAATAACGGATCAAAACGATTCTAAATTCTGCTTGCAAACGAAATTATTCGATAAGTACGGAAAAAGAGAAGATTGAACACCCATCGAAATTTAAGTCTCTACCGAATTGTTATTATTAAAAGTTTTTCTTGGCACTCACATTTTTCTCAAAACATAATCACCTTGTTTCAAATAATGCTGAAAACGATTTAAAACTTTCATTATATACGTTCAAAATTATTCAAATATATTTCTTAGCTAGTGATGGGAAGTATTTTATAAGTAAATTGGAATCTGTTATAGTATCGAACTCTCTGTGATATACTTGAAAAGATAAAAGCAATTATAAAAGCTTCAAGTATATTCGAACCTGGATGAAATGGGTTCGAAA